GCGAGGATCATTCTTCATTTGAGTTCTAATCACTGCCGATCGGAATTAAGTGTTCTTATCTTAAACTTCAGCCTGTATTACTTCTGATGCTCTTTATACCAGTGCCCATTGAGTTAAACTATTCTCAGTGCGAATAACGCGTACATTCAGGAAGTGTCGTTTAATAGATTGTTCACTCTTTACGTGTGTGTATGAATGTGCTGTGCATCGACAAACGAAACCTAAGGAGTACTGCTTTGAAGTGGTGTTTTTTAAATCATCGTGTTACTTGCACAGGTCAATTCCAACCTCCGAGTCTGTGTGTCAAGTCTTACAATGTTACATATCATTGGAAGATAGCTACCGAAGAGTACTTTAGCCGGGACTTAAAGTTTGCTGTGTTGGTTTAAACAGAGTGGAGTTATAACATCATTGGATCCGTGAATAGAATACTTCAGTCAGTGAGGCTATTGAATCAGACTTTTGTTTGGTGGTGTTTGCCATTCTGTCTCGGCTTACTTCGCTCGCCGATTTTTTGCGCCCCCTTATTATATTTAGGGCCGGCCATTGTTTTTGGCTATACAGTATATTGGGGTATTTAGTTTTAGGCATACTTTATTTTTATGCTTAAAATTGGGTATAAAGTATTCACTCACGACTGCTTAGTTTGGGTATAAAGTATATCGTGGTTTTCTTAATTTTGGTATTTTACGCCATTTTTAGTATAATTTTTGGTATATTGGAAGGTTTATTTCGGGTATTTTGGTATTCCACTACCCACCTTGGCCGACCCTGTATATTCGCCTTTACTGGGACCAAGGAGCCTGGTCGCAGTAAGAATAGTGCACTGAAGATGGTTCCAAATTTTTTTATTCTAAGGATGATATGCTAACGGGTAGCATTACAGCTCAAAGCAATGAAGAAAGTACATCCTGTGTTGTCTAAGTTAACTTTTATGACCTTTTATTTTTGCATGATAGTGTTCTGAGGGAAAAAAAAACCGTTTGAATGCAGAGGTCCACGCAACGCGTAAATATAACTGACTTGTTGCTCTTGCCGGATCTCTAATCAAAGAGATGCTGAGGAAGGCTAATTTTGTTAGCCGAAATATTGACCTATAATAAATCAGCCCTTTGCCGTAGTGCCAGCCCTGCATTGAGTTTTGTTTTGTTCTTATTATACTACAGTAAAAAGCTGCAAGTAAGAAACTGCATTTTCCCAAGTTAGTCTAAACAAGTTCTTTCATAAATCATAATTAGCACAAATTTAGGCTATTTAGGTTCTTAAATAGGCTATTAATTTTTGAAGAAAAAATGTACATTGTAGCTAAGAGTCTGTAGTGGAATTCAGCTTATTCCTTATATAAAATCTGCACATCATGACAGTGCAGTTGGTCTGGTGAAAAGGCATCTATCCAAAGAAGGGATCTTAAATGTTGACTTAATATCCTTTTTGCCCAAGTGTACATAATATTTTTAAAGAGTTTCTGCCAAAAAAATAAGAACCTTTTCAAATTTTAGGCTGAACAGGTTCTTGTTTGTAGGGGCCTATATATAACTGGTAAATTTTAGGCTTACTGGTTCCTAAAAACAAGGTTCTTACTCACGGGTTTTTACTGTATTTAAGGTCAACAGAACAGCTCTGTCGCTACTCAACCTTGGTGGTCATTCACAGTACGCCTTTTCGGGATATCTGTAGGCGAATGAAAATGCGAAGCTAATTTTTTCTTTTGTACGTGGCAGTGCGGAAGCCAGTTATTTTCGTTATCAGTCTTAGACAGTACGGCTTAGCTTTCTTTGTGTGTGATTAAGTATAACATTAAAAGTTATAGTATCTACTACGGCGTCGTGATGCCCGTATTGCTCTTGATTGAATTGTGTCTGTGAATAACTTTTCCCAAAACGACCGTGACAGTAACATCCACGATACTGCACAGAACTGTGTGATACCCGTAGTAATGTGTAATATCAACTGTGGTATACTTTTGTCTGTAAATTTAATTCTAAATATAACCGTAACAGCCATGTTCTGTACACTGAGAGCGTATAGTTTTTTCGAAGTCATGCCGCAATATGGATGACTTGTGTAAAGCGTGAAGCCAAAGATTGGATAAAATGCTGTAATTGACCCCTATGTTGCAAATATCGTGCAGAGTGATTCTTTACCGTGATATTCAGTACAGTTCATTACAGGTGGAGACAATTATTATGAGTATACTGTGATCAAGGCCTTACGCCTGTGAGCTGCGTGCTCTCGGTTGGGGGAAGGGGGGCTACTAAAAATCGCGAGGAGATGGAAAGGGAAGAAACACTCCGCTCGACGGAGGCCTGTTCATATGAGTAATGCTCAAACTTCAACTTTACGGACGAAAGCTACCAAGGCTCCCAATGATCCCTGATGTTTATTACATTCCTTGTGGTGTACCTCGTTTGTTCTTTGTTTCCGGAAAACGTGTTTACCTTTTGAACTTTAGCGATTGCATGCTATAAGGGCAACGTTTAGGCATATTGTTTGAAGATGGTCTTTTTTGCAGCAAAATATAGTTGCTGACATATGCTAGTCGTAGCTCATGTTTCGACCAAGTCTCACAATTTTCATGTTAGCCAGTGAGTCACTGATCGTCACTGCTTTTAATATTGGCCGTCTAAACTGGATATGCGCTTCATAGTTTACCATCACTCTCTCTTTTGCCACTATAACCACTGTCAACTGCCTCGTCGACTCAAGTTCCAAAATATCGCGTGTCTGAAATTTGTGAGTGACAACGACTGTTGTAAGAGTAAGATCGCTCTAAAGCCGCTCTCCAAAGAAACAGAAAATGACAAATAATTTCGAAGTAATTAACTCCGCATGCATGATCAGTTTATAATCTAGCACGCGACCAAATTGCCGCAGTTCTCGGTGTTACCTGTGTCTCTTTAAGGAAAGCAACCTCGATTTTCCCTGAAATCATATTTAGGAAAACTGGGTTTTATCCTTTTTCATTCGTCTTATTTTAACTCTGAGATTACTGTTTATACTAAGACTTCATCTTAATTTTTCCTACAGGCATTGTCGATAATGTGGTTAGGCGGGTTGGCTGTGGCTTTTAAATTTGTGCCATCTGCCAGTATTTAAACACAGACTGGCTGTAAATATACTGTAATGAAGCTCAAGACGATTTTGAAATAGGCAATTGACAAATTTTAGTCACAAATTCCACGGATAGTTATTTGAAGTTCACTAGAGTTTGTTGCGTGTCGTTTCGTAGGAACGCGGACAATCACACGCAAGAATTCGCTATTTTTGTACATGCTTAGTCTGAACAAGAATTGCTGTCAGTTTAGACTCGTACCAGAAATTTTTGGAAAGCGTATATAGTGCATTTATGGTTGATGATCTTAAATATGTTTAAAATATTCTATATCTTTCGCCAAGCCTGTTAAATAAAAATTAACCAAAAAAATTATTTACCCATAAAAAATAGGACAAGCGAGCAAAACCGAATTGCTGAAATAGACGCTGTTTTTTCTCCCGTTTATCTGTCATTAGAATGATAATTTGTTCCCACAATAAAATAAAATTGGGGCAAAACTGACGAAAGAATACAACCAATATATCACTTGCGATGACACCATAATCTGATCTTCAAAATCAGCGGCCCTCGATGATGGTCAAAAGTGATACGTTTCCAAAAACAATCAACACGGTATTTTGGTTTTTCGGTGAAGTTGGTTTTCGCTGCAAATTCTAACTCTCTATAGCTTAGCTCTGTTTTATTGAGATAACAATTAAAAGCGTGGCAGAGTGTGATGAAGAATGATTTCAAAAAAGTTGCAATTACCCTGGTGCCCAGACGATAGGTCATGTACCTCGATCAGGGTTGTCTACATATCAAGTGCGCGAATACAAAGAACTCACGCAAAGCTTCTTGCCGCAAAAACCGTCGACTCGTGGGCCGGCTATTGGTCTGAAACATAGTCAAAACATAGTTTCGAGTCGAAGAGGCATCGAAGGATTCGTTCGTAAGAATTAAAGAGATTTTAACCGTTGCAAAATAGCTCAATTATCTTCTGAGAAGTCGTTTACAGCATTATAACTAGCATCACAAAAAAACCTATCATAAAAATTCCATTCCTGCTTTCCTGTGTAGCCCGAGGCTAAAAGGGCGAACCACACGAAACCCTCGATGCACCTGCAAGTTTACGCGAAATTTCAAAATATCCTGAAGGAGAGTTTTTGACTCAAAGATTGTACGGTATCTGGCGATAGCGATAAACATTGACTTGAAAAACTCTTTACTCCGCCTTTTCTATTCAAGGCGTTGAATGGTTTTGATGTATACCGATTTCAGCGTGTCTATACATTACTCCCCTTTCTGACTTCGTGGTCAATTTATCTGATTATCGGCAGTATCTGCCGAGAGGAAGGAAAAGGGAAAAGGGGATTGACATAATAAAACCAGAAGGCACAACAAGGCGGAGTTAGAACGTGAACATAGTAAAACAACACCTGACAGCGCTGGTCAAACTGGCACCACGGTGTCTGAAAAAAAGAAGTTTTATTTCAAACAATTTTGAACATCTGAAGCTTCCTTTTTAATTGCTCAAAATGCACAAACATTGAATGTATTTCTGACACCAGTACAGTACGCGTTCAAGTTTGAAATTTAATGGATGTCCTCGAAAAGTTTAATCGCTCGAAACGGCTCGAAGCGCGACCCTTATTTTAGCGTTCTTTCTTTTATTCTGTGTCACGAAACCTAAGGATTGAGAAAGGAAAGCCTTCGTCGCAAGATGCGGCCAAAAGCAAAGCTGTCATTATTTATTTTCAAAACATTAGAAAAAGAAAAAAAAACAAAATCGTCGGCACTGCAGCAGCACGCACAGAGTTGAATTCACCATACCTACTACTCGTACTATTTGATCCCAATTATCTTTCTTACAGCAATTACCCTGTCTAAATGCTTTAAAGAAGAAGAGGAAGAGAAAAGTAATTGTTTATAGGTCATCTGGTTCAAGGGAGAATGAATAAAACCAACGCAAATTATTATAGACTTTATTTTTTGAGAGCTCCTCTCTCAACACGTAAAACTTATTCCATAAAATATATACACTGACGGAACATAGGGAAGATTCGTTCCTTTCCATAATTGAACTTTACACTTTACACAATGTTTGTTGCTCGCTATAGAAGAAATAAATTAAGATTTCCGGCATGCGATCGCTGCGGCGATGCCCAATGTCCTCGCGTCTGTGATCAATTTTTCATCTTGTTGCATTTTTAAAATCGGGAGAAGAGTTAATTTGCGCCTATTCCCTCATGCGGACGCGATACCATATGCGGGGCTTGCTCTGAAAACTGTACCTAACAACAGAGATCAAAGGGAAAAAGAGAACTGCGGTTAGGATGAGGAAAGGAAGGAAAAAAAACGCGCGAGATAAGCACTGTCTACACAACAAGAACAAACAAACGATGAATTCTTAAAAAGACACATGCAGCGTTTTGTCAGAGCACGTCGGGCTCAAGAGTCCATTTTGGAAATTGTGCGAACTGTTTCATATTTCTATTCTTGGTCTGTTTGTATATTCGGTTGGTGGTCTTTGCCAGAAGCGTTTTTATTCTTCTGGTGCATGTTGTTTGTCAGTAGAATTATCAACACTCCTCGTCTCGATTTGTATGTAGAAAAATGTTGCCATTGAATACAGTGGTACGAGAGGTTTCTTTACGCATGTGCCTTTTGTTCGCTAAATGAACTCTTTTACCACACGCTGGGAAATAGATGTTTATCACGGTTAACTCAACAAACATCCCGCTGCGTAGCTAACGTCAAAAATATATCTTTGTTAACAATTGGGCACATAGGTCTTCCTGCCAGTTCAGATACTGTTCTGAGACGGTTTGAACTTTTCATCCACAAAATAGCTATAACTTATAAGTACAACCTATGCATTGAAATATAAATAGAACTCGAGGCTTTCAAAAACCAATATTGAAAATACGTTGAGCGTACACAGACCAGAGGACCAGCAGGAAAGGATAAAGACTGACAAGAAAAAAAAAAATTTAAAATACCGGTTGAAATTCAGTAGAGCACAGCTGCCGAGGAAAACTTGTTTTACAAGAAACTGTATTTTCGCTGTCTTAAAGATGTTCAGCTAGCTCGTACACAATGTCCTCTCAGAGGATCGTTCGTTATGGCCTCGAATTTATTCTGAAAAAGATTAAAGTTTGTCTTCTTTGAAAAATTTACGGTCTACGAAACAATTTTTAAAACTCTGCTGCAACTTTGTGTGTTATTTGTGGCCTTCTTTTTAAGGAACAAGAAAATATTTCAAGCAGTTTCCTTTGCTCCGTAAAAGCTTTGTTGTCAAAGGTGTGAGGCAATTAGGACAGATTACAAAGAAATACAATACTGACAAATTTCACTTTCCAGTAACTGAATTCGTTAAAATACCCGAAAGATAGAACTCTAGCTAGAACCAGTGATTGAAATAGAACGAAAACAAAAATGAGAAGACAAGGGAATGAATAAATTCTTCGCAAGATTTGAGCCAAAAGAAGCATCCTTGATAATATGTAGACAAAAGAAGACCAAGTCGAGGGTTGATTCACAGAAACCTCGCATCCATGAAGGAGTTTTAAAAATTGCTTGTTCGGTGAAATATAAGATGTTTGATTCATCTTCCTATGAAGTCAATTTGCACACCGCAGTGGCTTGAAGGATATTTGTACATTGAATTCACTTATGCAAAATAGGCAAAGGCATCTATTCAGAAGAAGAGTAATTATCGTGTCACCACACAAAAACACACAAGCCTGACTCGATAGATACACGCTTGGGTTACTCGTTTAATGGTCCCCTTAGGGTTTTGAGTCAGTCCGGTGGCTTGTTTTCAAACGCAATTTATCGTTCGCTAATACAATTCAGGTTAAATGCTTACTAGAGCTAATAGCTGAGAGCGGTGTGAGACCGTATAATTGGCAATTTAAACCGCTCAAGAAGCAGCATCTTGGCGGTTCGCGCGTGGAAGAACTTTCCCAGTAAGTTTGCATTAAAAAAGCAAGGAACAATGACAAAAGAAGTATGTCACAGATAAGATAACCTTCCTAGTTTATAGGCTTACCAATTGTTGAAACGGACCTTGGTCCATATCGTTATGCATTGCGAATTCGTTCAGGGCCTTCCAAGGTTGGTAGCTGGGAAGGTCGCCCATCGAGACCTCAGATGGTGGTCTGAGCGATGGTGGAGTTAGACTCGAAGCGAAAACCTGAACACCCGAAATAGCTGATGGCGGTAGCGTGCGGCTGGGAAGAGCATTCGGTGAGCTACCGGTTGGACTCTGTTTGTAAACGGCAAAGAAAAAGATACAGTGATTAAACGGGAGGATGGATATAAATTGCCGTCAATTATTATGACTTGGATGCGGCAATGTTTTGCTTTGTAAAACGTATACAGTTCGATATCCCACTGGGGCTAATGGTAATGTCATTTCTTTGCTAAATCGTTGCGTAAAGAACAAGCTATAACAGTCAGTCAGAATAGTGAAAGGAGGCACTAGCCGAAGTCTAAAGTTTATCTAAAATTAAGATCAAGCAACTCTGTGTGCGCGTGATGACAAAAACACCAGATGCTAGGGCTAAGCGTCGATGAACCTCGTCAGCGAGGATGGATGATTTTATAATAGGCCACACTTTTGTACATTCTTATTCAAAGGGGTTTGAGTATAAGAAAAAAAAAGTTTCTCCTTCAACATTAAGATCGTTTAGTAATAAGCTCGCAGAATCCTTCGTAGAGATTGCCATTTCTAAAGGAGGAAGTCTAGTGAGAGAGCGCCTGTGAAGATATAAAATCTCGAAGAATCGTCTTACCAGCTGTGAAGCCTAACAATCCAAAATTAACACCTTTTGGCTAATTCTTCCAATTATATTAACAAGAAAACTCCTAGCACGGTGTTCAAGCAAAAGAAAAAGGCTTGGATCAAGAGGAAAGCGCGATTTTATTGAAATAAAAAACAGTGAAAACTGCCTTAAGTTTGCTCGCCAAGCTCGATTAACCACCACCTGTGCGCAAATATTTCCATTTCCGTCCGTCTTTGTCGTGCTCATCGTGACAGCTAATGGCAAAGTGACATTGCCAAAAAAAAAAAAAAAAAATTGCGCGGAGCTAAACTGTTTCTACCACTTCTACGTTCTTAGGCCAGTAGGAAATTGGAAACACATAATGTCAGTTTATACCTGCCCATCATCAGAGCCCGGTCCTTGGTGTTGGTGGTGAGAGGAGGTCTTGTTTAACATCATAGACTTCTTCTTGTCTTTGCAGCGTTTATTTTGAAACCACACACGAATTACTCGAGGACTAAGTCCAGTCATTTCGACGAGCTGTTCTTTCATCATCGCGTCCGGCCGCGGATTCGCCGCGTAACACGTCCGAAGCGTGTGTAGCTGCTTCTCATTTAACACAGTCCGTACCCTCGTCGTTTTCTCTGATGATTTGCCTCGCCGTGGCGATGATTCTTCGGTCTGGCCGTTCGAGTGAGCTGCAAAGGAATTATCATTGTCGCGATATTTTTAGCCTGACACTTACGATACTTCAGTCACCATTGAATCTAATATTTCGAGGGTGGAAACAGTAATACTGTATATCTAGGGAAAGACAAAGAGTCATGATATGGAGCTGAGAAGTTTGGAATTGAAATATCTGCTAAAAGCACTACGAGGTGCTACGACACCGTTGCTCGTTTAAACATCCTCGAGATTTGAGATTTTGTATTTTCCTGCGGAAGTGCTTAAACTGTTAAGAGAGTAGAAAATCCCGAGTTTAGTTGTTGAAGAATAGTTAAGGGGTTAATTCAGAATTTCGGGTTAAACCTGACAGTAGCAGTGATAGAACTGTGATGCTTTGTAAGGGTCATACATAGGTATCACGGAAACTTCCCGATCGGAAATAAATGTCAAAAGTACTTATCCGTGTTGAACCTTATAATTGAGAATAGAAGATATTGCCAACAAACATTCAATTTTGAATTAAAGCGCGAGAAGGTTATAATATTCCCGCTCCCCTTCTCCTTGAGGTTGGTTGATAGGTGACACGGCTGGCCAAACGCCGGCAGCAAAGCCATGTTGCTTGGCTACAAACAGGGCTTAAAATTAAGCACAATCAAAATCCATTAACCAACAAACGATGGCCCAGACTTCTATAAATTCAAGCATTTAACTGAAATCTTCACATGATCTGGTCCGAGTCAATCTAAGTTGCTAATAGTGTTATCGACCCCAATTTGATTAGATTCTGATACGTTTAGTGACAAGACCTACCGCGTCGAAACAGAGCGAGTAGAAACAGACTGGCTCACCTGATGATTGAGAGGAGGACCGTTGCGATCCTCGAACGTGAGCTGCTTGAGCTGTAGCCGTTGCCTTCTCTACGATTTCGTTGTCCTCTTTACAGAATAATCCGTCCTCGCGCAGTGCGAATTCGTCCCCCGGAACAAGCTGTCTACTGCAAGCGATGCAGCGAAAACAGTCTATGTGATAGATTTGGCTCTTGGCTCTCATCACGAAGTCGTTTTTCGTCACAGAACGGGAACATTTGGCGCACTTTGTCCCAAATAACCTGAAGAGCGAGAGAGAAAATACGCTCAATGACCAGAAAGCAAATAACGTGCTTCCCGAGAACGACTTTCGCAAATATATCTGTTTCTATTTTATTCCCATCCGAAGTGACCCGTCAATGTTATTTTACAACTTACCCACGCGCTACTTAGTCTAATCCTGCAGAGTTTTTCTTTGCCGTAAGGCGCTAAGACTAACAAAATTGCGATCGAAAGCGAAATCTAAGAAAAACCACAAATCTAAATTGTACTCGTAGTCTCCTGCTTGTAGAGTAGGCAAACTTTCCCGCCTCGCTTACCCACAATAAGAAAGAGGCGGAGTCAAAGAATAACTTGTGTGAACTGAATTTCCTGAACTCCAGCCACCATGTATCCGTGTGAATTTCTTTGTAATTAGCTTCTCCGAGATCCACGAAAAACTGCCACTGTGTAACAGCCTACGCAGCGGGGGAAATCAGGGCTTCTATCTTGCCAACGGGTTACACGATGGCTTTGTAGAGACAATACAGTCATAACCATCACAGCTACTCTGTCTTCCTAATTAACAACATTGATTCCTTCGCCAGAGTAATATGTCGTCAGTATTTGTAATATACTGAAGTAATCCTTCGAAAAACACAACGTCATGCAGCTATTAACGCACGGTTAAACGGACGAATTGAACGAATGTGTTGATGATCTCAAATGATCTATGATCGCTCGGTCAGTTACGTTTGCATTCTGATTTCTCAGCAGTGGACCGTACTGGCTTACCTAACGTAATCACGCTTGCAGTAGGTCTTTCCGTCTCGCACAAAACACGTACAAGTTTCGTCCAGGTACGTGTGACAGTCGGCACATTTCAGGCAACCTGCATGCCATTCGAGGTCGGGAGCGACGCGTAGGATGTACTGATCTTGAATCTGAGAGCCGCAACCGACACACATGGATATTCGACGCTTCTCTGCAAAAGAAACACAAAACAAAACTTAAGAGCTCCTTGGTTTAAGCGTGACAGGAAATACTTCCGAACGTCCAAGGGAGTCATGGCGCTAACAGAAAGTTTATTTTGACGAGCAGGGAATCACATCGACTATAAGTACGTACGTTGGAGGTCTTGGTCGCTCATTCCCAAGAAGGCTTTACAAGGCGACTCGGTGATATCAACCAAAATGGGATTACTAACTAAGCGAGTCAGCCAGCTGACGAACCGAATACTTCAAAATTCCGATCTCTCTGGAGCAATAATGCCATTGGTGTAGCCTGCTCGTGCCCAAACACGTGACCCTGGCTGTCATTGTCCGGCAGGTTATTGGCCGGAGGCTAAACCACCAATTTTACAAATTGGTGCCCAGTTGTGAATACTTCACTCGCCATTGGTCGCCCACCTTTCAACACTTGTCAAACTTTGCGCGTTTTTTAGATAGGAAACAGTGATAAACGCAGGTGTAAGGCTAGAAATTGACCGCAGATGAATTTTAGGACACTCATTCTGAGACTTCCAAAAACGGAATGTTAAATCTAGCGATCATAATCTTGGAAAGCGAGTCAAGTTCGTGACTGAAAGATCATGATTCCTAGCCGGTCAAAAGCAACAACCTCGGACCGCTTATTGAAAGTGACAGCTGACTTTTGTATTTCGCATTTATTCGCACACGTGTAAGTCACTAAAGCAATATCTGCAAGCGCTTGTCTCGAGTAAAACGCGTGGATATCAGCCTCGATACACGTGAGATAACTTAACAAGATAAATTTCACAAACTGTATTGATTCGCGCAACGCTCGCCATTGAAAGGACCTGGCTTTTGAAATTAGCACGGTATTTATGCGCCGTCAACAACAGTACTGGCAGTGGGCTATAGGGCAATGTGAAGGCATTGTTCAATTTTCAATGCCTGGCGACGCAACAACAAGCAAATTTGAATCAAAACAAAAGGGTGGATTTGGGGCAGGATCTCATTGAACCTCGAACACTTCGATATAATTAGCAGAAATTTGTGAAAAGAAGCAAACGAGATTTAGCACGTTTAGGTTAGAAGCTCCGCCTTGTCGGTCAACGAATTGTCAGATAGCGTCAGGGTCGATAACTCGTATCTCTTGCTGAAAGGTACCCTCAACCTCAACAGAAAACCCAGACAAGGGGGGATGTTGAAAACTCGAGAGGTCATGATATTGACGCAACTTGGAATGAAAAATATTTACCCGAGAAATTTTCCCTTTGAATAGCAGAACAAAGTCGGCATTGAAAACATTTGTACCCAACACAACGTGGAATAATAGGCTTTGTTTTCTTAGTTCAACTTGGGGATTTAAAAACCCATTCACCGTTGTCAAACATATCTTTTGATCGTCTGGTCATGATTCAAGGCCATTGTTGTAGCCAACCCAACTAATTCATATATTAATTATCTGTCATATTCACTTGTCAAACACTTCATTGACGAGAGCCTCGTCACCAGACTTCCACCTTTGAATGTTGCGCTACAATTTCCTGTCCCTAATGAAGCGTACAAATCCTAATCCAGATTGCCCATTAAGCTTCTGTTGTCCTTATAGCATTTCCGACCTATACATCTTTTGGATCTTAACAGGGCGAAAAATCCTTCTGGAACAAAGCTCAGAAAAAAAAATTAGCGAAGTTGGTTTGCGCACCAAATAAAATAAGAACAAACACGTCATTCGATACTTTCAAGAGACGCAATCGAAAGAATTCACCGACTCCTTTCGAATTCGGCCGTGAAATTTGAATTTTTTCCACACCATTGAATCTACGATTATGATCAAATAATTGCTGTAAAAACAAGCATCACGATGAGGACAATCACAATGTAGAAGTCAAACACGAAATTTGTTATGCCTGAACTCTTCACAAAGCAGCCAGTTGCGCGGATTATTGTTTTTCGCACCATCTTTGCACGGCATCTTTCGTTGCCGGGGGTGGAAAATTTTTCCTGACCCCGCTTCATCTGCGTGGAAACGAAACCCGAGTAATATGCGCCTTGGATTGGTGTAGTTTTTCGGTGGCGCCTTTTTGGTGGCCGACAAAACATACATCACTGGATGTTTCATACTAAGAGTCAAATTTCTGGTCGAATATTGTTCCGGGTAAGTTTCCGGTACATTTAATTTCTGTCTTCGAAATACAAATTTACAACTCACACCTTTCTGAATTTCAGTATTTTCAGCCTAATTCGTGCCATTTTAGCCTGTAATATAATTAACTTTTCATCAAATTCGCGTACAGAAAAACCTCTGAAAGACACGAATCCGCTGTTTTGGAAATTTGTCTGCTATTTTCAACAACAGCAAAAAAATATGGACTGACAATTAAACTTGGAAACAATTGAAAGATCTCCCCAATGCGTTACTAAACGTGACGGAAAAGAAAGCTCTTTAATCTAAAATTAAAATTAAAATCTTTTCTCTTAGCAACACGTATCGTAAAATGCACATATCTTTTCGACGCCTTGTGTCGAGTAGTTGAATTGTTGGGAAGCTATCAACGAAGTACGTGTGAGATTCGGAGCCTTGTTTCACTAGAAACAATAGGATAATCTTGTGTGCTTTGAAATGATGTTAGAAACTTGGGAACGACGGCTATGAATTGGTTAGCTGGTACATTGGTAAAGGGAAACCTTGATTGCAATAAAAAAATAATGAAATAAAATAAAAAAATGAATAAATAAATGAAAAAAAAAACATGAAATAAAGAAGAAGAAGAAAAAAACTCCAATATGTATAGGCTCAGATCAAAAACTGTTCCTGTTTTTGTTATTTATCAGGCAGGATGTGACTTGAATTTTGTTTGAATTTAGATTCAAAGATCAAAGGTCAGTTTGGTTAAATATTAGTTACGAGATGGCTAAAAAAATACTTCTTAAATTTTCGTATTAAAGGGCTAGGAAAAGTGAAGAGGATAACCAGTCGATTTCATTTTTGGCCAATCCAAGCGATTTCGCCGGCTAGAAAATAAGCTGGTTGTCCAAAGAAGACATTAAAAGTTAGAACGGCAGGGTCTATATGAGAATAGGAAACAAGAGAGGGGAAAAAGTGGAAAGTAATAATGATTACGCCCCACTGGTGACGACAGAAGAAAAGACGGCTTCACATCGTGCACAAATGTCAACAAAACTAAGTAAACTTCAACAATTATATTGATAGATTGAATAATATGGCCATGTTGCCATTCATTTGCAAGGCAAGCGGCCCTTGAGATCACAATTTACTGTTGGATCAAATCTTACGTAAAAAGTTATTGTGTATACAACAAAACAGCGCGCGAAAAGTAAGAAAATTCGGTTCGTTGTGAAAAGAAGATTGTAGGTCGTGGCTTAGGCAAGATGACCTTTTAGTGAGGGCTGTCTACTAGGAGAACTTGCCAATATGTTTGTTAATTTGTGTGGGCATCAGCTGGCGGTATTACAAAACAAAACAATCAACGTGTCAAAATGGCGCGAAAACAAGAGTGGAAAGCGTCGAACGATTGTCACCTACGAGAATGGATGATTCTGTGTTATCAAAAAAAAAAGGACGCCACTAGTTACAGTTAAAAAAGTCTTGGCCTACTTAGTTTATTTACGCGATAAATTCATTTTGTCCTTTTCCTGTTCTTAGCCTTTTATTTAAAATATTGAACAAGGAACAAGGAAAATGTAGAGACAAGCCGAAAACATCTGCTGCAAGACAACAAATGGAGGAAGAAAACATTTACAACACAATTAGCGATAAGAATATTTTTCAATTCGGCTAATCCCTACGTGACTATGTTTAGAAAAGGGGACTTTTAAAAGAAACCAGTTAACAATGCATTTCACATGGATCCAATCCCTCGTTTAGTTTTGACATTATGGGCCTCACGGAAAATGAGAAAAAAAAATGAATAAGCGAAAAGAAAGAACCATGAAAAAGAAAAATGTTTCATACAACACCCCGTGAGAATTTTAGCTTAAGGCAAACATCACTCGAAATAGAAAAAACAAACAATTTCTATTGTGAATACAGCATCCTTTTATATCGCTTTGCTGTCCTTTTTTGTTTCTTAACACAATAGAAGTCAAACGAAAAGTACGTGTATTTACATTATCTCGACCTCGGGTTTAACACCAATCAAGGTTTTTCTCAAAATATGAATCTTCCTTAATGAAAACGTAACTTTAAGTGAATCCGTAAGAACTTCCCATTAGAGTTCGACTGGAGGGGCTAGGGTATAAAGAGCTCTTCTAAACGATTACATTGGAGATGTAGCGTATAAATTATACACAAGGTTTAAATGTACATTTGTGAGATTAAAAAGAAAAATAGATTAACAGGCGAATTAAGATGATTTTAAATATCTCCCCATAAAAGGCTTAACCTCGCTTGGAGCTATAGACACGGGAATACAAGGTTCACGTGGTGTAAAATTATCTATAATGGAAGTCGATTGATTAAAAAGATTTGTTGCTTTTTACTTTGGGGAAAAATATCCTTGTTGCACCACTTCCCCTTCGGCAATAAAGCACAGAATTTGATATTAACTACCAAGTCGCATCACGAAACATCCAGTCCGTGCTTTGAGATATATACCTGTATATTGTATCATGCTCTATTTTGCAAGTCCACAAATGTGATATTCTGTGATTATTTAGTTGATCTAGTAGCGCTGACAAATCATCCTAAATTGAAAAATAATTGACGCTGCATGATGTAAAATAAAAACAAATTTCAAAATCAGCATGAGTGCTTGTCGCCTCGCCAAGCCAAGCTATTTCACTGTAAAAATGTGTTTTTATGACTTAAAAATCTGGTTCAGATTCGCTCAGTGTCGTTTCAGATATTTTACTGGCCTTTATGAGAAGGATTTCACGCTGTCGTTCAACTTCCCCTCACCGGAGTCGAGATCATCGCTGGAACTATGCAGTCCATAAGTTAGCGATATAAGAGGTGTTTACGAAGTAAAATGCGATAAAAACGACCATGCCCAGTCACTTTTCAAGTTTTCAGAGGCTATTCAGGGACTTAAATGTACAAATTTTCCTTCATAAGTTATAAATGTTTCGGCGTCTAAAGCATTGTAATCGTAGGTAATGCTGTAGGTGAACAGACATGTATTTAATAACAAAAATAGACATGTGCGATGTCCAAATTATTCATTGAGTTGATAAAAATGAACTATTTTTTAACCACCAGAACACCTTTAAAATAAAATAAATAAAAACTTAAACACGATTGTTTTATCTGCTTAATATTGATTTTTTTTTTAAACTCAAAATCAGACATTATTATTCAAACAATTCAGGTTTACGATCTGTTAATCTTTTTCAATCTGCACCCTTAAATACATTTTAGACGTGAATTGCAGATTCGATCAGGAACTAAGTTATGAAATGTAAGATTTGACGTGATTTTTGTCCATACTTTGTGATAGTGAATTATCCATAGCCTATCTGATATACCTTAGAGCAACTGAAGGAAAAGTCGTTTCCGTCGTGTACAATACCAATTTATCGTTTTCAATTTAAAGCGACGTCTACTGACAAGTAACTAAAACATTCTCTGTGATAGTCCATACTGATCGCCCAATTCATTTGCGTCCGGTTGACTTATACATCCACCAGACAGTTGAAGGTAAATCCGACCGGTAGGTGGCATAGATGCGAATGATCGTCGAAAAATTAGAAGGGGATCAAAACAGGTGTGGCTCAGGCTTTATTTGACCCGCTTTCAGCCTCAATATCAACATAAAAATTCTCTACACTGATCTCCACACGTTTCCTTGAAAAAATATCTGAGAGAATTTGTTTTAAGAGGATTTCCACTTAAGTGATCATTTTATCAATTCCCACAACCCAGTCTCTTGATTATGTATTGACATTGTAAGGAGAAAATTGATGTTGGTCACTCTTGTGATTTAAAGGCTTAACCCCTTTAGGTGAACATTAAAAGACGACCATGGAGCGGCACTGGTTTTAATTGTGGTAAAAGTGTTATTTGAAATGTTGTCTGTAACAGTATGATCTCTTGCTGCTGATTTGATATAGATATTTAGTTTACACACATCCGCAGCCCACACGTAATGGCGCTCTCTCCTGAACGCCCAAAAGCGAGGCCAAAATTTACAACTACACCCCTAAGCGAGACAACAAGCATCCCCGCCCCTGCCTATATTATCGGTAAGTTCCCTGCCCCCAGGCGTAGATCCCAACTTCTGATAGCTGTTTTGTTCAGTCCCGCCTTAACAATGAAACTTGTAGATTTTTTGTTTTGCTACATTAAATTAAGTAAGGATGGACTGCAATTAATACTTTTACACGCATGACGTAAACCATCTCATCAAAGTGGATCGAGCAGAAACAAAACCTACTGTATTCGTAAGTTCCATGTTTTGTCGCAGATTTTAAGTCCTTTCTGTTAATTCCGAATTTTGCTAAAAAATACGACTTAAGGAGGCGAAGTAATTACTGAAGTAGGTTTTGTATCAGTTGCTTTTGTAAAGGCATTAGTAATAATAATGTGCAAGAGACGTGCAAGTTGGGGACTTGTTGAAGATTTGGACATTGAGAAAACTTCCTCTCTAGTAAACCGGAAAATTAAATAGTAATTGTTAGTAATGTTTATTGCATTTTCGTTTTCTGATTGGCTGCTTGCAATGGCGTTTGGTGAGATCGTTGGTTGATAATCTGCTCCTACTTGCCTCAATTCAGAAGTCCTTGATTTTTGAGGCATTTGAAAATTAGAATTGCTTGATTCGAGACAATTTGCTTGTTTAGGAAGGTGCACTCGGTAGTTGGATTGTCTGCTGGTTTTCTTGGTCTAACATTATGTATCTTTCTCGGAAGCAACTATGTGGCATTTTTCTATAGTTTTCCGAAGACTGCTGAAGTCGTCCATATCAGTTTACCTTAGTTTCACCGAGTCTGAAATTGGTATAACCTTAGAGGAATATAATTATTTACGGTAAATTGATTGTATTCTTTTCAGAAAAATAGTCTTGCTGCTTTGCCTTGAACATAGTCAACATCATGTTTCCAGCTGATACTCAACTAAATCTCTGACAGGATATTTTGGAATAACTGCTTGATTTGATTCTCTTTCATTTGATTGTTGCATGGCGTAGAGCTGTATTCAGGATTAAGCCTTCATTAGCTGATTTGGTCTCCGTCACAGAGTTATTGTCGTGAATTCCATTTTCTCTAAAGTCCAGAGAATAATTTTAAAAAGAAACTAATCCAGTATCCATTATCCATTATGGGAGGTTAAGCGCTCAGTGCTTAGTTGTAGTCATGAGTTGGTCCATGTGGTTTTCAATTCCGGTAAGCGACGTAAGAATGTTAGTTTCATAACTTTACGAGGTTTGCAGTTGTTGTTTGGCCCAAGATTATTATGCTTACTCATGAAAATTGTGGAAAGAAGAGGACTTCAAACACTACTGTGCTAGGCGGCTTGTGTGATAGTCTTTGGCAGTAGACGATACCATCGATATGGATCGAGTTCTCGTAAGTCTAAATTCCCTCATTCCTATGCGACTGTCAGCATTGAGAGTACATCAAAGAGTATCATTCCTCCCATTCTAGCATTTTGAATTGAACTCAAATGAGGAGTGCCTTGATTCTAAGGTCGACGCTCAGTATTAGCTTACAGCTGGCTTTTTCGTAATGTCAGGTACTACATGTATATTGAAGTCAAGTAATTTCATTTGTGCAATCACATTTACAGATTTAAAGAAATAAGAGTGTTTAACTGAGGTTAGACATTTTCTTGAGTATCACAGAACTTATATACTGGGTCGTAGATTAGGCCGTGCAATACATACTACAGCTTATTTCATAAGGGATTATCTAAAGCTGCGGTATTTAGCTTTGCTTGTTCGATAAGGTCAATCTTGCGTTTCCTAGTAAGTAAGCCCCTAAAAGATCAAGTTGTACTCGAAGATGGGCAGTGAAATAAGTTGAAGACGTTCACAACTTCGCGTTAGATTTTAAACAACTGCCTTGCAGTTCTGAGGTATAAGTTGCTGCTAAAAAATGTTGAGCAATGCGCAGAGCAATAAGGGACTTAATTATACTTGCCTTCATGTGAAGAACATTCTTGGGAATGATAAATATTCAGCATAGTGTCCGAGTTAAGTCGCAGAAACGAATCTCTTACTTGAGCTCTTTACGCTCAGAATTCACTTTCAAATAGCGGAAATCACGTACCGATGGTAGTTTCTTATGACCACCTCGATGAAGCGTTGAATTTATCATTCTTACTCATAAAGCTATCAATATAGGATGTTGGCCTAAAAATGGAATTTTACGATTACCGAATACCTTTCAAAGCGCGAACTTGTGGTATTCTTAAAGTCTTTTCAGTTTCGACCTCATTTTCTCTTAATACCTTCCCAGGAATATTCGGCTGACACTTTAAAGCTCTTCAAACGCGTTGTAGAAGGAAAATTGATGAAAATCAGCGAGAGCAATATTGAACGCTCTGATTAGACCGCAAGTATTTTCAAATATTAGTCGTGTGGAAAAATTTGTAAATTGGCTTCAAACCGTTGTGGAATTTCAAGTTAAAATTTTGTCACGTTCGATGCGAAAGACAAAGGGTATGATAAAATTCGTTCATTGAAAGACGTACCGTTACTTCGTCTATCGCCACCGCATTTCGGGAGAATCAATAAATTGTTTGACAACTCGTGCAACGTCTTCTTTTCGGCCGCAGTAAAAATATATATGTTTGTTTGACTCGTATTTTGAATCTTCGAAGGAGATCAGTAATATCTGATGTAGGAATGTCGGCAAGGAAAAAATTGGATTAAATAAACCGTTTCAAATCGATTTGTGATATAATTATTGCGAACAATGCAGGGTGCTTTAGTTCTTGACATAGTTTTCAGTTAGTCAAAGAGAATTATCGGTTGATCATGTTTTAAATAAACATTCGGGAATATAAATATGGAATAAACTATTCTGGAAGAGGAAAACTGAAAATGAAAAAAATAATATTCGATGAACATCGAAACAATTGAGTAGGGTTCCTTCAGAGTCTTGAATTCTTGAAAAAGTCTTGAATTTGCAAAGCATTTTGTCCAGACCTAGAAAAGTCTAGAAAATGGAAAAAAATCTGGAAAAGTAGTTAAACGTGTGGACGTTTCTTTTTAATACTGCATCTAAGTGCTTAATTAGTGAAGTTTTTTCCCGTGAACAATCTTATTCAATCCGATACGTAGCCAAGACATTCCTATATGACCGCATTGGCCTGTGGTTACCTTACGTTTGTCGTGCATAATGAGAAAAGGAAAATAAAACATAGTTTTGGAATAAAAGCCTAGAAAAAGTCTTGAATTTTTGATCGAAAACTCTTTACGAAGCCTGATTGAGACCTTAGTCTCTAAATACGAATTTTCGCGAATGATCTGTAATAAAACATGTGCCTCTCTTCCGTACCTCAATAGCACCAATATTGTTTAGAAGGGGCTTCATCCATTTTTTGCTGACGTGAAATCAATAATTTGAAGCAATCTCGGAAATTGCTTCCCGAAATTTCTTGCTGAAAAGTCTGGTTCATAACTGGAAAACGTTGGTCAAACTCACTTCTAAGTCTTTCATTCGCTAGAGCAGGAGCCCATCATGTTATGTTCGGTTCTAATTATTGAATTCATCCAATCCCATCATTCGACTATTCAAATGGATGCTCTATGCTCTATGCAATATGAGTACCGCATTTATTCGAATAGCAGGGAATAGGCGCCCAACCTCGAATTAGCGCCCATCCTAAAGGCAGAAAAAGTTAATAAGCGCCCACCCTCGAATAAGCGCCCACCCCACCCCACCCCACCCCCTCCCACTCAAACTCAAATAAGCACCCACCCCCGTTCCCCCTACCACGCCCGAAAAAAAATGGATAACTACTAGGAGAGACTTTCCTCGAAGACTGAGTTGTCTTCAGAGTATTTTACAGAAACCTTGCCTTGTTACATCTTTGCCTTTTGTTGCAAAATAAACATACTACTCTTGCTGAAAATGGTGAAAATTTAATGAGCGCCCAGCCTCGAATAAGCGCCCACCTGGAGTAAGCGCCAACTGGCAAGGTCCAAAACTTTAATAAGCGACCCGGGTGGTTAATCGAATAAATACGGTACTTTTCTAAAAAATGATTTGGGAACCACGTTAAGAAGTAAATGGTTATGACAACAGCACCCTAGCAGCCTTTCTTTCGCTTGGTCAATTTTGTCGTACTCAAGAAAGACTCTGCATGACCCAAGAAAGATCTTTGTTGGGCGTGCGCGGCATGCTTCTAAGATATAGTTTCGGACCCAGGCCTAATGACCGTGCGCTTACTACAGCGGGCTCGGCAATGACCATCGGATTATCAATAAAAGGATTCTCGCACCCGAAAAACCAGTATGACGAAAGACAACAAGATTGACTAGACCAGGATATAGGGCTGCGTCGACCTGCAAGGCTTGACGCGATTCAGGCATGCGCAGGCCCGCCTTTTCTCCCCCTTGCCCAAGAAAACAAAAGGAGGCTCTGCTCGTAGGGTGTGATAACAGTTGACAAGGAAGAAAACAAGAAGCTCGACTTAAAAAAAAATGTTTCAGAGTATCAATCTGTTGGTCGAGGCGAGGGGCTCAGCGTTCATCACACGTGTGATATAAAATGCGTAGTAGATGGCTTGAGTTGCCAGTAAAAATCTGTATCTGATATACTTTGAAAAACTTTTGAATTATTTATATTCGTCAGATTCATTTCAAGACGGTTGGCTGTGATTTCTCGTTATCACTTTTGACATATCTTTTCACTGAACTTTTGACCTAGTGTGCGTAAGTACACTGGAACCTCGATAAAACGAAGGGCTAAGGGACTGGCAAAATATGTTCGCTATACCAAGGTTTCGTTATATCGAGGTACTTTTTCACGTATTTTACTATTACTGTGGTGAAAAAATCGTTCGTTATTCCGAGGACTTCGTTATGTGGAGGTTCCACTGTAAAAGATACTTGAAGATTTTCTTGTGACAAATTTTTGATGAAGTCAAATCTTTTAGATAGTAAACGTAATCTATCATGAGTTATCTTTTTAATTTTCTCTAACGAAAATTTCTCAAGAGAAAACGGCTGTAATTAATTTTATTTGCATTTTTTTAATAACAGTAAACCTGCAAGTGTTACAAAATTTATGCATAATGTTTGTAATTTGTCAATTTAAAAGTAATGAAGATTGTTTATTTCAGCAATAATAAATAGTTATATTCATTAATTTTTTTCCTTTGCGACATCAAAAAGAAAGGCGGAAAGTGCGAAATAAAGAAATAGTCGTCGGCTTGACGCCATCTCTAACACAGCCGTAGAAAATCTCACCATTGTTTTTATACACGTATTAAGAATAAGTTTTGTTCGTGACAGACGAATGTTGTTCCACTGTCCTCAAACTTGTGTTTGTGAATTAAGATTAGCAAGTAGACAAGAAGCTACATTTAGCTGAGACTGGGTAAAAACCAAATAAAGCACTAGGTTCTAAGTTTTAACAAGAAGAGAATACCTCTATTCAGACCCCGAACTAAGCCTAACAAAAACTAAAACAACAACAAAATATCCATCCAAGGTTTGGAGGTTCGAAAAAACGATTTTAAGGGAGAAAGGAAACGTATCTACCGACCCAAACTAAAGCTAATTGTAAATATTGTAGATAGTCGTATTTTCATATTAACTTACATTAGATTTTTGTCGTTCTCTTTTTTGTAGTTCTCTCGGAGATTAATTAGTTGTTTAAAGCTACCCTCAAATTCGAGGAAAAATAAAGTTTGTGTATATATATTTTTTGAAAAAAAGTACCATTGACTCTGAAAAAGAAGCATGTTAGAACACTCTCGTTTGTGTGTAAAAAAATAAAATAATTCGTAACTGAAAATTTTTGATTTACTTGTAAAAACCAACCGGAGACCAAGCTACCGCCTGGGTTATCACCTTTTAGTAGCTTTCAAGGGTAGTATCTGCTGGATTGACAAGTTTCACTATGAATCATATCACCCCTATGACAGAAAGCAAGAAAGCATGGTAGAAAGGAAATTTCGAACTTTTACTTTCTAAAGTACTTCAAGGGCAATTATTGTCGTGTGAAGTCATAGCTGAGAATGTTTTACGGTTTAGTTCGCAGGCTCAAAAGTCGAAGTATTCACCAGCATATTATTGCCATGTGAGAACGAATAATGTATAAAATTTTATTAGGTAACCTATTTTACTTGGGAAAAAGGAGGAACAAGCAGTTTGGGTCTAAAGTGCTAATACGATTATGTATGTCACGTCAGTAATTGAGACTATATATTGATCACAATTTTTTACACACAAAACACTCTTTCTTTTATCATTCTATATCTTTTTTTTCGTCTCACTTTGAGACCATGAGGGCATCTTAAGAAATCTTGGCTATACTCATGTATAAGCACAAAATTAAATCGGCCACTTTCTTTTTTCTGATCCTCTGCCCTGGCTTGTAGTGTTAATCACGTGGGATAAAAGGAGTGCTGGTCCTGATTGTGAAAGAACAGAAAGGCAATATCGGCACGCCTTTCAGTTTCTCGTGCCATGACTTGCTTCGTACACCTTGCAAAGCCCTTTCTTACTTAAGTCCTCTTTATGCTTTAAATAATTTATTTTTCTATTAAGGTATTCTATTTTATTCCATTTACAAAATTTGTTGATACACATTTAACGCTTTTGTTTTTCCAGTGTTTGTATACATTGGCTGGAGCAGACTTTTACTCTGAATCATGTTGTAAAATATAATTGAATTTAATTAAACATTTGTATGTAATTCGGCTCTTTTGATGATACAGATTGCATTTATTGAGGCTAGAAAACATGACACCGTGTTTTAATCTTCAAAACAATTTTGTCTTGGAGGCGTAAGAATCACAATGGAAAAGATGTAGTAAACCTGCTCACTCTCCGCTAACATTAACGAATTTTTCATTTCTTTAATTGAGAGAATACCTTTCGCCTGCGTAATTGCTTAAACGCTAAAAAGATTAGCCTAAAACAGGAGTCATGAAAGTTCGTCGCCCTCATATTAATAGCATTGTAGTTATAACCGTACCAAAACTCACAACGACTTGTACAACCGGTCAATCCCAAAAGATGTAGCAAAGACGTTTAAAATTGTCCATCATTAAATGTAAATTTGATGTTATTTTTTCAGTAAGCTGTGTGTACATACGCATGGGGTTTTGCATCACGCTTTAGATAAGAATAAAATTATAATGACTGACTGGAAAGTTCCTCGTACAATTGATTTTTGCAAACTCATGAATGATAGTAAATTCTTCCGTTGAAATCAAGAATTCACAAGACTTCCAAATTATGGCTTGTCACTAATATTTTTTTAGATGATTTCCTTTCTTATAAGATTACAATTAATTCATATTTTGTATTATTTCACGAATTATGTGATAACTGAAGAAAACTTAAGGCACATCGGAATTTGTATTAAGTATCGTGATCTTTCAATCGCATTCTATAATAATTGAGATTGACAAATATAGGTTTTCCTTTCAAAAATGGTTCAAACGTCGTACAGAAATTCCCTTACTGCTTTGATGTAGACCTTGCGGGTTTTTATTAGAGTATAGCCTGCGAGCAGGCTCATTTGTGGGAGTTCCCGTGCACTTTCCCCCGAACTCAAGCCTGCTGGTAGGGTAATTGAAGTATGAATCTGTTTACGAGCCCAACTTTTAACTGTGATGATTACTCGCAATGACAGAAGATTTCTTTGCCAATAACTTAAAGTTATTTACAACTTTTGAAAGTTATGAGCCAGAGAACCAAATAGAATGAGTGTGACTTTTCCAATAAATGATATGAAAAAGTACGTTACCGTGCATGTTCTATTATACGCAACGAGGTGGTTCTGTCTTTTAGATCTGTATTTACATTTTTTCGGAGTTGAAGAATAAAACATGATCCTAAGCGACCAAGATTCAAATCATTTATATTTATCTGTTTAGAATTTTTGTTTCTAAGCAGTTAGGAAAAAGAATTTAGAAAAGATTATTTAAAAGTTGGAAACAAAGTATTTCATTTCATCTCCGTTTTTAAATCATACAATACAGCAGCTTTCAATGAGTGTTTAGAATTCAAGTCACAGAGCAGCGGCAGAATGGGTGTGGTCGAAATCAAATAATCTTTGATGAGAGTCCCGTACCGCCACTGCATGAAAAGCTTCACCCACGTATCACGTAGCTCTTTGCACCGTTAAGCAAAAGCGACTCAATGAATCCCTAAAGAGTCCATTAAAACTACAAAAATGCAGACTTTCAGCGTCTCAATTGCTATGAAAAACTGAAACAAACAGAGAACGATCTGTACAATGCTCAGGATTTCGTTCAACGTTCAAAGACTCCGAAAAGAAGCTGTCTCTTGAAAGCATCCCTGCGCGAAAAGTTGTTTAAACTAACAATATCGTTATAAAACGACTACGAATATTGGATGTATAAATACGCTAACTATGATAACTCTTGAAAATCCCCAATACTACAGACTGATCTCAATAGGTTTCCTTAAAAAACTAGTTGAGAGAATTTGATAAAAGATAAAAGCATTTTTCCTTTGGTGATCATTTTTTAAATTCTCATAGCCTTTCCTCTTAGTGGTTTATGGATTTTGTTTGGAGAAAATTGACGTTGGTCACTCTTGGGAACTTTTTTACTGAAGATTTTAGTCAATGTGCTACGCAGAGAAATTTCTTTCGCTTTGGAAGTGATGTAGTCTTTCAAATAAAGTATTGGGCAATACTTTTCTGTGTTGTTGTACAAGCTGATTCTTTCTTTTGAGTTTGTGGAGGCCAGGAAGCCCTTAAGTGCGACCGTACTAAAGAAAGATCAATGATGCACTGCTTTTTATAATTCATTCAAGGTAGCTTTGTGTTTTAAGTTAGTAGATGAAGTCCTGTGTTGTGGCTATGTAAAGAAATCTCTTGAGCTGCTAATTCTCACCATGCACTGTTTTCCCTTATTGTCAGTATAAGATCCGCGTTTTTTTTCCTTTTGCGTTAAGTTTTTGTCGGCTGTTGTTAGGTTTAAGGGATAAACGTATGATTCACGTTTTTATAAAGGAACGACAGAAGCTATAGAAGTAAAAACGTAAACTTCAGTCAAAAGTCCATCACGCCTACGTGACTCCAAGCAAAAAGGGCAAAGCTGGAACAGGAAAAACTCGAGAACGTACATTCCAAATACTGAGTCTTTTTTTGTATTTTTTAATCAATATAATTTCCTGAGAATCTCACAACAAATATAGTCCCAAATAACGGCAGGATCAGAAGGCTGGAATTATTAGAGCGGCCATTATCAGTATTACAAACCTGCCATTGAATGTATTGTTATCGGATAAATCAGGTTTGAAATTTGCCCTGAAGTAAAAAAGGAACGTCCGTACTTTTTAATCCACGCACGAATATCTGCACGTACTTTTAATTGTTAGCATCCGATTTGGAGTATTTTTTTTGTGATTTTAATTGGAGCAGGAACGAGAAAACTCTCAGTTGAAAAGTGCGTTGGGAAAATATTCTGCGATTTAATTTCTAAGGGAAGTTCTTCTTTCAAGAAAGGATTAAACAAGATTAAATGTAACTACAGTCATAAAGTAGAAAGCCTTATTAAATATTCATTCAAATTTGTCATAAATCTTAGAGTACATTAACACCGTCTTGATACAAACCACAAATTACTCCAGCTAAGTAGAAATTAGAAGTACTATCTATCAAGCCGTGTGTTAGCCACACGAGGTTTTTATGAAGACGTCATTAGAGCTTTTTAATGTACTGCAGCACCTCATCAGTTTGCCTCTGTCAAATTATACCTTGTGCGTTCAGTTCTCGTGTCACATGCGAAATAAAATTCAAGAAGCACTTGTAAGGTTCGGAGAAATTCGTTTTACCACTAAACGAGACCGTGCAATATATATCAAAGTCGTTGTTATTTCTTTCTCAGTTGTTCGATAGACAAAATTCTACAATAAGGCAAATTCAGAAAACAGTATCACGATTTTAAAATGACTGTACATGTACTTCTTTTTTGTGCAGGTGAGGGGATTTTATTCCTTTCCGGCCAGATTGTCATGAATTAAACATTCGGTAAGGACAAGGTATCCACCAAATCTTGTTTTGGAAAGTACTGGAAACAAATAGCAGCGTGTAGAAGTACTGCATAATACGTTCCATTTAGTTTTTCGTTGCACATAATTTTTAATGATAGTTTTGTTTGCACGTTTTTGTATATACTAAAGTTTCAGGAAAAACTCGCCAAAGTTGATTTTGTTTGATACTAATCACAATAACTACCATATGAAAGTAAAGCCAAAAAGTTTCATGTGGGTTATTACATCGTAAAATCTCATCCACATTCTCAATAGTTAGAACGAAATTTCATATCACGTAATTGACCTTAGAAATGACAGATTTAATCCCTCTGGCTGGAGCTTCTTTACGGCTTATAAAAGGGCGTGGTTCGTCTTTAGAGGTAATCCCTACCAGGAACAGATCCTCTTCTTTATTCGTAAGATAGCATTCAGTAGAACAACAAGAGCAGAAAAAGATGCAAATCAGCCGTAAATGAATATCAAGTTTTTGAAGGATTTATAAACATGGCAGAGATAATCTTTTCCAGATTATTACCGCGCAACGACGCTGAAAAGTTAAGCGGAAAGAGGAAGGGCACTATATTTTTGCATGAAGTGGATTAATCAAAGTTAGAGCGATTATCTCGCTAGTAGAGTAAATTACAAAAGGCGAAATAAGAGTATTCTTGTGTATTTCTGTTCTTTTTTTTTTACATGGCAGTCAGTAAACATTGTAGAAAGTGCCTAAGGTATGATTAAAAATAAGAAACACGTAACGAAGTTTTGTAATCTCGAAAATTCACCGGTCGAGATCGTTTGAAGTCAAAACTCATGAAAGACAAAAACTTATTCATTTTGTATAAAACGAGACCTTAAAAGACAGTCAAAGAATCGAAAGAAAAACTTTTGGCAAGCCACAATCAAATAGTGACTCGGTAGAGCTTCTTTATCGACAGAATCAAACAGATTTTAAGTCAGAAAATTTTACTCTTAAGATTTGCGGGTTAAGTGAATACTTATTATTTTATCACTTCTTTTGATTTTGCAGTGTAAAGACTTCGTTGTTGAGTCTATGAACAGTGGTGAAATGAAAGGACCAGTCGCATACAAATATCTGTCGGCAGTCTGTTATCTTTTTGCGATACTGCCAAGCATAAATAATAATGAAGGCCTGACAATAAAGTGTCTCTACATTTAAGATTTACACTTCTTTAAAACAGCGTTCAATATGATTCCAGTGTTTATCCTTGTTATCTAACATATGTGGAGAAAACTAGCCAGGAGAGCTTAACCGGCGTTTTCAATAAAAATGTCACAAAGCAGTTCCAATGAATGAGTAACAAGTACCGGCGAACCAGATTATCTTTTGGGGGTAAAACGACAAGCCCCTGCTTCCTTCTTATTTCACATTTTTTTAGTGTTGGACAAAACCACGAAAAAAAGGCTGTACTAGTTTCGACGTGTGACTAACAACGTTGATCGAAACTTGACTAAGAAATGACTACGCTTGACTAAGCTGACAAAATACCTGCCAGAAGTAACATTCATAGGCATTAAGACAACCCATGTAACGACAACAAGGTTATTTTTTCGTGGCAGGCGGTCCTGATTTTTCGATACCTCTAACAACAATACGGAGAAACAGACTTTATCAGTCATTTAAGAAAACATGAAAACATTAAGAGCAGCGGAAAATGTTTTATTACCTTTGGTCGCGATGCCCTCCATGCCTGTCACAAAACCCTTCATTAAACGCAGTGAATTTTTACTTGGGGATGTGCAGAGTAGAGTTATCTTTCTTCTAACTAAAGGATTCCCGCTGCGATTGCTAAGGAGAGAGAGAAAAAAAGAAATATTATTAATTTGCAAACAACTTAAAGAATAATCAAATCTATCAAGAGGACGTTTCCTGGCGTTAATCCCGGTAAAGTCCGGCTCTACGTACAGTGCAGATCTATTTGAAGGGCAGGGCTGCCGTAAAAAATACAGGAATCGGACTGGCAACACAGCAAAAGAAAACGAGGATCAGTTTAAGCTGATATGATTAAACTGGGATTTCTCGAGGATGTTGTATTGTGTGGAGCTCCCTGTTGCTGTCTTCAACACAGTCGTAACTGGACTGAACAACTGGAAGAGAATTTAAATGCAGACTGTCGGGACACTCACGAATTTGCGACCAAGCAACCAACTAAACTGACTTCGTTTGTTGTCACAGGTATAGGAAATTACGGCCTCAAAGTCTGATTTCCCAGTTATACATTAGCAAGTTATTGTCATGAAACAATTTAATGTAGACGTCATAAATGCGATTTGAGTTTTTTTTTTTCAATTTATCAATATCTGCCTTTAGGCACGCAGATGTCATTGAAGAATCAAAACATCTGTCAAACAAAAGGTTTTCCTGGTTCGCCGTCGAAGAAGCTGAATGATAACTACTGTTTGCCAAGGACGATATCGTCAAATATATATGAACATAACGATGTTTAAAAAGCAAATCATTGCCTTACTATTCAAGTACCTAACCTTACTAAATACACTCGTGAAGGTGAACACCACTGGCTAAGAATTATGAAACGGAAAGCAGGAATAAATCGGGTTTCTCGGCGTTATTCTTCAAAAGAGAGTTCCCTATGATTTTTCAAATGAAAAAGAAAAAGAAGGAAACACAATGCTATTCACGTACAGAGAAAATTAAATATCGCTTTGTTTTCCGACAAACAACAAAACCACAATTGCTGCACAGCAAATGAAATGAATTGCACATTAACACAAAGTGAGAAATGGTTGTTAGATTAACACCTTGAAAGATATTTTCAAAATACTAGCGAGAAAATTGTTGTTTCTGGCAAAGATTCTCATTGGCCAATTGAAAATTCTACTTCGTCGAAGAAAGACGAGAGTCGCGATTTCATTACACTAACTTGATAATAGTACGTATATATATATATATTTTGATAATCTTTACTCGCATTTGCTTAATAATTGCTTTTTATCTTTTAATCTATTTGTATTTTATGAGTTCATTTTTTTTCTAGTCGATATATTCACTCTCGTTCCACTGTTATGCGATTGGAGGAACTAAAAGCCGCGAAAAAAGCGGTGACTCCATAACCTCTATTCAATGTCCAAAATGACAAGAATTCACAAGATTAGAAATTGATTTGTAATTTTATTAATGAAAGGTCTCTATTTTATTTCATGTGTCTTGCTACCCTGTGACCAATATCACTTGCTTTGAGACTCTTTTTAATTAACAAAAAATCTACATTGAAAGAACGATTCATACCCGGCGCAGGGTCTACAAGGCTATCTCTGACAATAGCTCCAAAAACGGCAAACAGAATAGTTATAGTCTTTTCGATTATAGAGGGGATTTTCTGTCACTGAAATTATTGTAAAGTTGATCAACCCTTTTTAACAATTTTCGAACCTGTATTTATCCAAAACGAAACGACAAAACTTAAGTTTTCAATAATAGGAACACAATTACGAAGCAAACTAGGCAGTGCCGTAGGAAATAATTCATATACACAGACAATTTTATAACAGTTAGTTCTGTCTGTCGAAGTATTCTCACGCACGCTGCGGTAAACATTATTTTGTTTGTGTCTTATTCAATTTATAAACAGAGCTAAACACGACAGCGTGAGCACCAAACAAATGCAAATGAGCGGAAGGTGTCTAAACACAAAGAGATGTGCCAGTCTGTCACAGCTGATAAAGTAAGTTCACAGTTATTTCAAAGAGACGAACATAAATATGACCGCGCGTACCTTTTTGAACTTTCACAGCACTCCTTAATTCTAAACGCCTACCTCATGGCAATACATGCTTTGTAGTCTCTGCGGGAAACCCATGCTCCTCTCGCTAAGATAGTCTAGAGGCAAGGTGGTGCGCGGACCAGCCGTACGTTAAATATTGAAATACAAGTCAAACATAGACTTTGCGTGCTCGTCAATTTCCAGTACGAATATAAAAAGGATTCGATCGCTCGACAGTTATAATTCACGACAGGTTTGTTCAACGATCAAAATGCATGCAAAATCCGTCCCTTTTAACTTGAATCTCACAGCGTAAAAAGGCCGATATCCACATGACTCCTTCACCGTTTTGGCGGTGAATTATTTTTACAAAACACACACAAGGTCTCTTACGTCGCGAATTCGCTAGTATTTTTTTTTCAGCTCCGCCTACAACAAGGATTGCTTGCCTCGGAAAAGCGTTGTACGACTTCTGATGCGACTTCACTAGAGTTGAAAAGCACCTGTTTCACGCTGCTAGACAAAGTGGTTCAAATTTCACCTTACATGAACTCTTGCATATAAAATCTTATCCAGAAACATCCAAGTTGGCATTGTGTACGTGATATTTCTGAAACATGACTCTGTCAGATAGGACTGGCGAATGAATTAAAACGAAACATCGGTTCGCAGCTTCCCCCCGAGGGCAACTTGTCTTCTACTGTCACCGATAGAACGGTATGAAAAGCGAGTCAGGAGACACAAGCAGTTTTGCATTTTGACAAAAGTGTTATATTTCTAAAGATACACGGCGCTCGCACGTGGATTCAGTAACTGCCGCTGGTTTCGCTTTTAATCACCGGTCGTCTGCAGTATGTCTCCTTGGCGTAAAATTATTTTACTCACCACAGCTCTTTGCACATAAGCTAGTTAGAGAATAATGTTTACCCGAGAATTTAATAAATAAACACGGCATGGGGTTATGGAAAGGTATCGGCGCCAAGCATTATCAGGAATGTTTTAACTAATAGCCTCAGAGAGCTAAAATGGGTTCGTAGAGCTGTTTTAGACTTATTTATAGTAAACGCAAAAGAGGAATTTGTACATTTTTTCAGAAAGTAATAAATAATAATGATAATGATAAGCTTCACGAAAGGAGAGAAAATTTCCCTCTAGTGGGCAGGTTGTTTGGTAAAAGATGTCTGGTTTACAAAAGATAATGAAAAAAAAATTACGCATGGAGATTGCCATACGGCAGTTTATATTTACGGAAATTTTCTGCTTTCGAAGAATACATATTTCTTCGGGTTAATTGTATCCACAAATAATTCACTGTTTGCTTGTCTCTTATACATTCAATAACCTTCAAATAAAATTTTCTGCTTTTGACCGAAATTATCTAATGTATTATTCATTGTTTGAGGGTAAAGGAAAACGTTTTTTTCGTTATCTTCTCAGGAGGGAAAGTCTCTGTTTTAAAGGAATGTTCAGTTTAAAACCTGCCGTGGTTAAGAAAGATAATTGAGCTTTTTCCCTTATATGATTGAAAGAAAGTTTTACTAGGGAAATTTACAAAAACGTAAAAAGCGCGAGTGGAATTTATAACCGATTTTGTTCTTCGTGCGATAAAATATCGAAGCCATCTGTCACATGGAGAGATATTGATTCTTCAATCTAAGGCTTCTTCAGAAACAATTTAAACCGCACCTCAGGCTCAGTTGTCTTGCTTTATGGTCATAGATGAGTAATTATAGAGGGCAGTCATTCGATTGTAACCCGTTATTCGTTTAAAGTAAAGTTTCGAGCAAGGTTGTCCGTAAAAATAACTTCATAAACGACACCCCAACAATCCAAGAGATCAACTGATTGTATGACATAGTGAGGAGACTTCAATTTATATTCCCAATAAAATATTACATGTAATTTAGGCGTTCAAAAGAAAAATTGTTGAACACTCGGTGAATCGATTTCAAATCGACAATCGTATTTCACTACGACAATAAATTGCCTTTTGAGTACGTGATATACTAGCAGATATCATATTTTTTCTCTAAACCACCGCAATTCCGCAGCAGGTTGAAGCTAGAAGCTTTTTAAATTGGTGATGGTCATCAAAAGACGTTCAGTTCAGAAAAGAAATATACTGTAGTTTAGAGCATGCTGGATTTCTAACTTGAGGTTTTGGTCTGCTTTCATTGTGTTCCTGTCTTTGTCCTAAGGAAACACCGTTATTACTGCTTCAAATCCATGGACCGGTTTTTCGTTTTCTCCTCTAAATATTTTATGGTTGCTTAGCTAACCTGCAAAGTCAACGTCTGCCGTGTTAAGTAATGTTGCATGTAACTTTTTTAAACTAAAACATGTTAGAATATCATTTCTCACTTTTCCATTTCCGTCGAAAAAGTCGAGTGGTACGACTTAGTTAAAAAAGCCGGCTGAACGGCAAGTGTAAATTCCACGTTGGGCAAAACGCCGAATATTTACTCGGAGGTAAATACAGCATCGAGGAGCTAGGGCTTCTTTTAATCTGAAAAAATTCGGAATTGTAGACCCGACCTTAGAAGCCCGGTATGAATATATTTTTAAATAAGCATTGCTCTTTTCCCTTAGGTTTCATAATCGTAATAATTTTATTGTTAGTGTGAAAGCCAGGACTAAACAGTGCAATACTAAACAGTGCAATTTTTTGGTACACTTCTTTGGGAGAAGGTATGAAATAATGATGATGATGATGATGATAATAATAATAATAATAATAAATATTCATAAGAACATTTCTAAATTAAACCTTCTAATCTTCTTTCTTACTATTTGACCAAAGTAAACCATTGCTATGTTTATTACCAGGACATGATTTCTCGTCGTGGGCTTTCAAGCACAGATTTAACCGTTCAATCTAAGCAAATCCTTTGGTTGCATTGAAACTATAAATTCCAAATAAAACTTATGACAAAGCACAGGAAGAAATAGCACACATGAAAAAGCAATCATCTTGGTCCTGGGTATTTTATTTTTATTAAATTGGAAAGTCAGCGAAGTTGTTGATGGTAAAATCAAAATATTGATGACGATGTTGCAGTTGCTGTTGTTGATGATAATGATGATGATGATGATGATGACGATGACGATGTCGACGACGACGACAACGATGATGATGATAATGATGGTGAACGTGTTCATTCTAGAGTTTTTGGATACAGATAGCTGGGAAAATGTCCAAAATTTAAACTGTCGGCTGTTTTCAACTAATAACTGAGATCTGAGATCCAAATGATTTACTGATCTCTTGAGAACTGGGCTGAAACTAGGGTAGCTGGGAATTCTAAATCTGGGGCGCTAATTTGAAACTACATAAATTGGGCGTCAGTTTTTTGAAATAATATTTACTTAAATAATCATGACACGCCAAACATCACGCACGAAAACGTCGTTTTGGGGCAAGTAGAACAGTACATTACAGTTTCATTAGAAATTTTTCCCAGGCTTTTTTTGTTGTGGCCTTTTGCGCAAGCTTTTTTTAATGGATGGGCAAGTGATGAAAGGAAATTCAGTTTTTTTTTTTCGCTCAGTGCCAGACGACTGCCGCAAGTACATCAGAAGGAGACTTCAATTTTATGCATAGTTCGAGTAGTCAAATTCATTATCCAATCAAAGAGAACTTTATACCCATTTCTTTGTAGACGTGATGGCGACCTGTCTTTCTTCGATTCATAAACATTTGCAAGATGAATATACTGCCTGCTTGCAAATTGCCTTTTAAACAACTAAGCAGCGTGATTATACTCGTTGTTGTTTAAAGAAAAAACCCTCTACATAAATTTCTGTCAAATTTACCTCCACAAACGAATCTTTTCTTGGCAACCCTTTTTCGATTACTCTTTCTTTATGTTTATGGTACACAAACCCATATTTTTCTAGAATAAGGAATTAAGCTTTAAAAAAAAGGTTTAATAGGTAAATCCTGAAGAAATCCAGTTTACCTTCGACCGGACAAATTTAAGCCGCCAGGTGTTTAAAGTTCCTTATTACTTGAAAGATTAATAGGCAAAAGTCGGCTTTTTCTTTACAAAATTGAAAGGCAGTAATTATTTAACAAAAACGGAAAATTCGAGATACCCCCTAGCTTAGGACATTTCACTTCGGAATGGTTGAGGTTGACCAAGCGCTTCAAAATACTGTACTGTTCCTTGACCCATTCATGCAGTTAAGAAAAAATCAGGACCTCGACGTAGAAGCGTTTAATGTTGTTCTACTTTGAGTTTGTGGATCGACGTTATTCTATGTTGTGACCATTCGAATGAAAACTAATCTGCAGAAATTTTACGGTGCACAATTTGTTTGGCAATATTTTTCTTGAAACGAAATTTTAAGTTTTTCTTATTACTTGTTGTTGATGTGCGCACTGTTTGGAGAGAAAAGGTTCAAACAGCTGCAGTGGCTGCGAGGTCGTCGCTACGACTTAGTGACAGGCTGTTGTTGTTGTTGTTGCCATTTGGTCGGTGCGTATGAAAACGGAGCTCCGTGTTATATGAATGCGTTTTAATTCAAGGTTATAGTTCTCGGAATCTAACTGAAACTGCAGATCGTAGGCATAGCTCTTTATAGTCTGAGGAACGAATTTTTTAAAATTGCAGCCTACTAATTGATGGAACTAGTCAGAGAATTTCAACCACACTGGCGTGGAAAATTAGGTTCTGAATAATCATGTTGCAACTACTGGAAGCAAAATAACTTACTTCTGACACAGAGCTTAGATGTGACAAAAACTACAGAAAAATTACCACCAGCAAGTAGTTAAACCAAAAAATGCGCCAGGAGGTAACAAGCAGGCAGTACTACACAGAACTACTAGAAATGAAAGTATGTCTCCCTGGTCTTTAATCTCATTCAGCTTAAGTTCTTCTGTATCCATTTGCTTTCATAATAATAGTTAAGCTCAGCGAGTCCGACGTTTTTTTTTTTTCAAGTTATTCCAGGCGAGTGTGTGGAAAGCGCACGATGCAGTTCTGAGCAAAACCTGTCAGTACGAATAAAACGTTCGCGCAGTACTTTCGCATAGCATTGTTGTCTTTTCACACTATTTTAGAAAATGAAATTTCGGATTTTCCTAGCTAAAATTTTTATCTTGGTTACTCTTGGAAGCAGGAGAGTTAAAAATATTTCGTTGCTGCTTTCATATGCGTAAACAAAAAACGTTGCACCTTTCAATCGATACCACTGATCCATTTACCACTTAGACGAAAATAAATGTAGTAATCGAAAATAAAAATAAAAATACTGTTGGAAATTTACAGCGCAAGAGAAGGGGAATGTTTTAAAACTTTCCCTTGAATGGCCACATTTAATGAAAATGTTCATTGTCAGATTCAAATGTGTTAGAGTCACCCACAAAGCTGGAGTGACGATCAAAAGTACACTGAAATTGTATACTGATGGACTGAGCATTCTAACCACAGTTCATAAGCTGGAATCACCTTGTGCAGGAAAGACTAGGGAAGCACACATAGTAAACAATATCGTTTGTCTGTATTGTGCTGTGTGGGTGAACGCAATTGGAAATTCGTGTAAGAGTTGCTGTTATCAGTAAGATGCATGGACTTAAGACCGATTGTAATAATTACCTTTATTGAAGCCTGTTGTTGCTGTGACTTTGAAAGATGTACAGCTGTTGATTTTCTAGGACAAAATTAATGATCGAGAAAGAAGTCAGTAAAAAGGCTTTGACGACATTCTAATAAACTGGTCTAGGTAGCGGTTGACTTCTCAACGTTAAACTGTTGGCGGGTAGAAAGTCATACTTTCTAGTTGATCTGTTAGCATAAGGCGTGCACGAGGGCTAATTGAAAACATATAAAGGGTTGGTTATTTGAACAAAGTCTAACTAAGACTGCGGTTTTAGACTATCGCTGGGCCTCTAGATTTGTTTTAGAATGGATTTTTGTAGGTAGTAACCAGAGTAACTTGGTTTTCTCAATAGTCTGGCTAATATGTCTCTTAGCGCTGTGAAATCAGTAGACAACATTTAATCATAGGGGAAGACAAAATATTGAATGGCTTAGAACGCGATTTT